TGTGGTATTCGTCCCAAGTTTGTACGTAGAATGTGAGGAGAGCTAACAAATGTTAGCACAATCCTAGTGAAGAGTCGCAGGTTAGGTTCGCACAAGCAAATAAAATCAAAACTGTCTTCCACCCCATTCCCATGTTCTGCGAAGCCGCGAATATTAAACATTCGAGAGAAGTATTGAGAGCATCAACACCATGATCGAAGAGCTCTCCAAGCGGCCCACTCTGATGTGTTCGTCTCCTGCATTCCCGCCAGTCAGCTATTGCCCTTCTAGATCAATCGCACAGAAATATAAACATACGCCTGTGTCCCATCGACCGCGTCGAAGGTCTGATACAAGAACAACCCCACGGCCCAACTTGCATACACCCAAGGCGGACAATCCACATCGAGAGTCGGATTATACCACAACAAAGTCAGGATATTAATAATGACGAAGCTGAAGCCGGTAAGGGTAATCAGATTCGGCGCCATGCTCATGGGGAAACATTTTATCACGAAATTTGTATAGAATGGCTTGAGAACGTATCGAGATAAGAGGGAGTGGTCGACACCTGAATACTTGTATTGCTTCAGGCCTGGAAGTTTTTCTTGTCGTACGTACACCATTGTGACGAGACCTTGAGTTGATTAGAAAGAACTTTGGGGGAAGAGCAAAATCCTCAAGTTACTCAAGTTCTTGAGGTTGAATTGGAAACTATGGAAGATGTTCCAATCCTTTTTGTTGTCGTATAAAATATAAAGCACTTCAAATCAAGAAATCTAAAATCTAGAAAAACATGCCAAGACCACGGATATGCAACGTCATATGATACAAGTACCCGAGTTTTTCAAGGATTCTGATAGGGGCAATCAGATAAGACTCCAGAGCCAACACATTGTACATGTGCAAGCAAGTGAAGAATTTTCTACATAACTTCATAACTACCAATATATCTAAATGTGTGAACCATTCAATCAATATATGCATATTTACGTGTACTATATATAGCTAATTTCTGGTAGAAAAATGGATATTGCACTAGAAGTTACAGTAGATCAAATTATCTAGATTAAACTTTCCCCACCCGTTCATGTGAAAAGACTAGGTTCCTAGGGGAACTCTGGAACGACCCAAAAAATACATATTAAATCTCAATTGTGTCAATTTTTTCATATTTTTGACTCAATAGTTTGCGCTGCGTCCTTCACCTTCGATGAGATGAAGCCAATCCATTTTTCACAGCTTCTTATACCCATTATCTAAACAACAATCATCAAATGCAACCAAAATTCAACTCCACGAATTCGCTAGCCCCCGCCCTAAGCAACAGACCCAATAACCAAAGCTGCAATCCCTTCTTCCTCACCACGAACCACAATTTTGCTTGTGACTCCTGATTTACTAGAATGAGCCATACGGATATTAGCCACAACTCTTCCACCTGTAACTGTTTTACCAAATAATTTGAGTGTATGGGTAGTTGTATTGATCGGCACATCCGTGCCATCGAGAGGTTGTAGCGAGAGTGTTTTAGTAAGTTGTTCAGTAGCATCTGTAAAAATCGTTAGACATCCGGTTATAAGTATTTCGAGAAAAAACATACCTGCAATACTCTTGACACCACTCAATTGAAGTGTCTCTTCAGCTTCCTCACCGGAAGCACCCACTTGCTCCCAGATATGATTGAAGTTGCCAGCAAAAGCAGGGATGACATAGTCGCTCCCGGTAAGTTCGAGGTCCTCAACCTGGTATTCGTCATCATATCCGGTTTCTTCAGGCTCACCAGTTGTTGGATCGATTTCTTTGGTAGTGAACTTCAAGACATTTGTGAAGCTGCTTGAGGGGAAAGCAGATTCGCCACTGGTCTTCTTGAAAGATACATAAATAGTACCCGGCTCATCGGTCACAAGCTTGGCGGCAGGAATAATGAAATCTTCCTCGAGCTCTTCTTCATCAGTTGGGCTAGCGACCACCGATACTTCTTCAAGAACGGTGTCCGGTAAAGTATTTTTGACCTCATATTGAAGAACAATATGTTCCTTGAAGATATGCTTAACAACGGAAACAACGTATTCAGTTTCCGATTCTGTCAATTCGACAACATGAGATGATTTCAATACAGCACCATATGGCTTGAATTCTGGAACCTTGAGTAATTCCTGAGCATACTTTTGAGCGGCTGCAGAAGCGGATGCAACAGCTTCGGCGCCAGATGGTGAAGTCTTGCTTGGTCCAGATTTTGGTGCCTTGATTGTTGGTGTTACTGTCGTGAGCTTCTTGGTTCGCTCCTCTGCGTCTGCTTGCTCCTTGGTAACAACTGGGACTGATGCAATATCGAAAGGGTTATCGAAAGTTGATTTGTCATCAGCTGTGACGTACATGACAAGTTGATGCTCAAGATATGGTAAAGCAAATTTGTTTTCTGGGGATAGTTAGAACAATTTGGTAAAGATTGGGGTGAGAGTAGCATACCATTCTTAATGAAACGATCCGCCGTGTCATCAGACTCTGACATTAATCTCAAGTTCAATGCAGCACGGTCACGAACTTCATCATCAACATCATCCAAACATCTGGTGAGAAGAACGGTCACACTGCGCTTGACTTCTGGATCTTTCTGCCCCACGCCGAATTTGGCCAACGCTGTGACCGCTGCAGCTCGCACAATAGCATTTTCAAGGACTACACGATTGTAGATATATCGGATGTACTTGGTAGGTTGGGATGTTTTTGGACCTTCCAATCCTAGAAGATGAAGGATACGAACAGCCAGTTTGGTGAATTCGCAGTCCTCAATAAATTCGCAAAGATGTGCTAAGGCATCTTCCTTTGACTCGGGAACAAACTTAATCAAATCAAACATGCTTTCCACTACGGCGCGCTTAAACTCATATCCTCCCTCATCGCGTAGTATACCACTAAGGAATGCTAGCATGCCAGCTTGTTTATTGGGAAACTTAAGGCAAAGAGTGCGGATTGCTTCAACGATTGTAATCTTGAACTCGTCTGTGATATCTGCCATAAATCCTGAAATTTGCTTCATCAATCGGTCCACACTAGCTTCATTACCAGTTTTCAACAGGGTGGTGATAGCAAATGTAGCAACTGATCTATTGGAGTGCGAGATGAGGATTTCGATATCGGGGTTGCATGGGTGGACAGCTTGAGGCTTGAAAGAGGCGAAGTTGTGGAGTATGCGAATCGCAGCGAATTTGGTAACAGCTCTTGGTGAGGTAAGGAAAAGTTGCAGAACGTGAATGGCTTGAGCAACTTCGGCATCTGTGACGTCTCGCATATCGCAAATGGCTTTGGCAGCCTCGAAGTTGACCATTTCGCTCTTGTGTCGGAGCCATCCATCCAAGAGTTGCATCATTGGTCTCCGAAGTTGTTGGTCCTCTTCTGCTAATTGAGCTGCTAGTCGGACGAGCATAACAGTTGCAGCCGGACTCTTTACAGCACCTGCTGCTCCAAATTGCTGAACCATCTTGACCAATGCCATTCTGTCGTGCATCCTCATTTGATACAAAAGTCCTATCGCATGGTATTGTGTCATTGTTGAATTATTAACGGGCATTTGACTGCTGGAAGTTGAGAAACCAAGGGAGAAGCCACCCGAGGACTTTGTGGCTGTTGCAGCTTCTTGTGTTTCGCTTTGCCATCTTCGAACAACATCGCGGGCTATAGGTAAAAGGTGGTATGAGGATATCAAGGCGGCAGAGGATACGGAAGGGTTTTTGTCGACAATTGCGGTCTTCATTACTCGTTCAATGCTCTGAACTGTGGAGGCCTGATTGTGTTAATGTCATTCTACATTAAAATCGAGAGCACTCACATCAATGATACGACACAAGGCCCGAATTGCATTTGGTCTGTAGATTGCATCTGTTCCTCCACCAGTATCTTTCATTATTGTACTTGTGACCATGATAATATCCTCCGCCGAATGCGCCAATTCCTTAATGATGAGGTGAACCACCTGCCGCAGGCTGGCATCTTTATTTTGAAACAGCTTCGAGATACCAAAGAAAAGGGTGGTGGCTTCATTCGTAGGGAATTTCTCGCCGGTGTATAATAAAAGCGCGATCTTCGTGAGGAGAACACGACATCTTCGAGGCTGTATAGGGGAAGAGTTAAACAATCGAGCTGTTGAATGTTAACTTAGCTGGCCTGTTAATGGGAATGTTCACCGACCTTCTTGGAAAACGGATGTTCTATCCACACGCATGATGGCCATATCGCCATCTTCATCTTTCTTACTGTAACTCATGATGTGCAAGGTATGCTCCCCAGCTTCATGAATTGCAAGTCAAAAATAAGTCGATTATTACTGCAATTGTGGTCTTTGAGGTTGCGATACGTCGCCAAATCCGCTATGTGTTGACGTGGGGGAAATAATTTGAAGGGGTGTGTGTAGACGTTTGATGTATAAGGAGCGGCTTTTGCCGAAAATGTCCCTTTTTTGAATGATTCCGCTCCGCTCACTACCTGCTCTACAGCGGGTTAGCTCCTTTATAGCGGGTTAGCTTCTATAGCTCAAATTAACAGTAGAGCAACGATGAGGACCTCGGGATGCTCAGATTATTTCTGTTGGTATCAACTTGGTGGGTTGAAAGTGTAAACTACTTTATGCTATAAACGTATGTATGATTCTTGATTCCTATAATGCTATGCTATCCTTATATCAAGATGTTGAAGTGCTAGTTCCTGTGCTAGTCCATATGCTTCGTCCGGCCCGTACGGTCACATGATTGTACCGACAATTTCTATTTTGAAAAAATGAGGAAATCTTTGAACATCAGGGCAGCTTGTTCATAGAAGTAGTATTCATGAAATGCCTTGAACTCATTCTAAAAAGAAGCCCTATTTCGGGTATCAAGCTGCGGATAGAGAGAGCCCGCTATTTTTCCGCCTAACACACTAACCAAACACCTCAATTTCAAAACAACAAAAAAGGTAAGAAAGAACAATTTCATATCGCATCCTTCCTCAATCAATATGAATGAACAAAAAGGCAAAAGTTGTTCCGGTACGGGGAATTGAACCCCGGTCTCCCGCGAACTTTCTTGGAGAATCATGAAAGGCGGAAATGCTAACCACTACACCATGCCGGACGGAATGTCATCTATTTGATATAGAGGCCGGGCTTAACTTTTGATTATATAGTTGAAAGAAAATTGCTTACTAGTATGCAGAAGGAGAATATAGAGTATTTAGTAAAGATAAATCTATTATTAAAAAAAACGATATTGCTTTCTCATTATAAAGTAGATTAACTAAGTAGATAATCTAATTGACTTTTTATATTAGTAGAATTTGCATATATACTATTAAGTTTTCAAATACTTTATTATTAAGTCTAAAATCATTAATCAATTTAGGGTTTTCTTATACTTATACTTTAGACTTGTTCTTCATCGGCTTCAATCATCTTCGAGATACAACAGTCATCCAAACTAAAGTTCTATTACTGGAAGTATCCTGTGTATAGCAAGCGGTGATCTTGACTTCATCCCGACTCTTCTGTAGCATTCGATCTATTCATGCCCCCCTGTCAGCTCAGTATCTTTACTGATGTTTTCTGCTTTGGTTACTGGAGTACTTCCTTCAGCTCTGGTCAACCATATCTGATCTAAACATACACTATCAACAGTTCTCATCTGATCTTATCGATTCCTTTCCATGCACTCAATTTTCCCTTTGTCTGCTAGTTATCTGTGGTAGGCAGTGACAAGTCATTATTAAATGGAAGTACTTGTTTTCTTCATAGGTTCCGCGGTTTATCATTTCCACCATCCTTTTCTTTTCTTTTCTTAAGGCATTCATCTGCCTCATGCTCTACCCAAGGAACTATTATACTCTCCGCCATTGCTTTTCCATTAGTAGCATTTTCAAAGAAACTTACCATCCCTTATACTTACATCTATAACTTATCCCTCGGCTATCGACTCAGGGGCTCCCACATCGATCAAATGCAGGCTGCATATTGTGTTCATGAAAAGTCTATCTTGTTCTGAAATACGCTGGATGATCAGAGCCATCAGATTTTTATTTTTATTTTTATCCTTCTAGATTCCATGATAATTTCGCCCCTATTTCGCAATTTCACCTGAGACCAAAGGTCTTACATGGGCCCAAAGGACAATGGAATCATCTGCTAATAAAATCTCTGGTTAGTTGCTCCGTTACAGCCAAGTTATATATCAGAGCTCAAAAAGGTGCGCTTGGAATTTATGGGGATAATTAGAGTTGTGGTCCGGGAAATGTTCTTTGTGATGCTATAATCTTAAGAAGTGATGAAAGTCATATAGACCTATTGTCAAAACTAATATTCAACTTCGATCTTTGAACTTTTGGTGTAAGGTACCTAAGTGAGGATGTAATTATGCAAATATCCAAAAGAAACTAAATGTTGGTATTAAATATTCTTTCTTCATGTATCTTACAAATAAATTATATTACACACAATCATTATAATCAATGCCACCAACACTATTCTCAGAAATGCTAATATTACAGGTCTATCACTACTAGTAAATGCTAAGCCAGAATCCAAGGGGCATGTTAGGTATATCAGATAAAATCCCAGGTTCAGAAATACCTTTGGTAATCAACTTGCTAGACTCATAAACTATTTTTTTCTTGCATCATATCCTTCTTGGTACAATATACTTCGAATATTAGATTGATTGTCTCTTCCAGTTTCAAATCATGGCTGGAAGAAAAAATCATCATCTATCTCATCAATCCGTTGAAAACCATACACCTATTGGTTCTATTCCAAGCGGGGTTTCATTCTCGAGGTCCTCCATTGTATCTATCACTGCGATCATATTAGTATCAGTTTCCAGATAAAGTCACAAATGAATAGTACTGGGGGCACCCACAATCACTTATATCCCGCCTTCCCCTCTCTGTCGCATTCCAAGCCAACCTAGCACTAACCCTCACGCTTCTCAGACATGGCAACCTACCCTCTTCTACCGCATCATAAACTGCCCCGGCAGTAATATTCACCTCTGTCCCTGCTGTGCCGCTACAATCCAGATCCAATATTCGCAAGGGATGGTCTTGGGGTATATTCTTAAATAACTCATCTGTAATGAAATCGGCGGATATTCGGAATGCGGTCAAGGTGGGACAGCTTAAAAGGACGAAGTCCAATGCCCCAACTCCCATACGATTCATTGGGTGTCGAATCGTTAGGTGTTGGAGCTGAGGCCCGATGTGTTCTAGAGTGCTTAGGAGCGCAGGAGAGTACACCATACTGCAGTGTTGAATACTGAAACGACAAAGCGTCGGCGGAACATTGAGTAGATGGGTATCAAGGAAGCTATTATCGACTCCGCCAGCTAGATGAAGACCTTGCAGCTTAGGTGGCCATTCGTATATTTCATCATTTCTGCCTTGGTCGCTGTTGGAAGTTCGCGGAAAAAGTAATGTTTCCAGATGTTGCAGAGTTTTGAGGGTTTGAAATAGTAAACGGGTCGATATTGAAGCGGAAATCAGGGAAAGATCCAGATATCGAAGTTGGGTACATTTACTGAGAGCGGGGAAGGAATTTATAGAGAATGAGGCTTGTGGTGCCACAAATTCCACTATGTTGCCCTTCAGCCGGCCCAGCAATCGTGCAGTCAAGCTCCTAGAACTGTTGTGTACCAATTCTCCCATATCAAGCCGGCGGACCAGGGGGGCGAGCGCGGATTGCCGTATATGTGCATTTTTGGAGGGACAAACGGTAGTGACAAAGGCATTGAAATTTCCACCGCTGAGATATGGTCGCTCATATAAAAGAGATATGGATGCAAAATACCAGAGCCTGGATACAAGCGTGCAGGAGTAGAAAGTAGACTGGGTGTCCACGCGATGAGGAATATACGAGAGGATGTGAGAGATTATCTCCAGAGGAAGAAGGATCTCTTGTGAGGGGGCTTTATGATAAAGCTCTGCCATTGATTTAGAAGCCGGTTTAGGCTCTGAGTTTTGAGATCTGATGGGCAGCTTCAGAGGCTGCGACATCTCTATGTTCCAGTTACTCTGTGCGTCGAGAGCCATTGTTGAAGTTATTGGGTTGTTGTTCGATAGTTCGGCCTTATAGCTATAGGGAACCACTTGTATTCCAGAATATTCACGGCTCAAACGAGGAATTTGACATCTTGTCAATGAAGTAGAGAGTATTCATTATTAGCTAAGCAAGTGATGGGATTCGCACGGATTCGCACCGTAGGTATTGTATACTAGGTTACCTACCTATGGCTCCCAATATCGCTCGCCACCAAATACGAGGCTTTTTCAGGCGAGATTAGTCAGCCTTATCGTTTGTGTTATCTACAAAGCACTTTCATTCTTGTCAACTTTCCAAACATTTTGCTGCGCGGCCTGAGATCAGAATTCGAAAAATCAGCTTCGGGGCTTTTGGGAAAAGTAACCTTTTTACTCCGGATTGAGAAAGAGGGAGTCTTCACGATCTCGAGAAAAACTGTCTCCAAGATTTTCGAAGAACGATTAAAGAGTACGGGCTCGGGCGTATTGGGGAGTCGACGTCGAGAAACAATCACCCCCGGAAACATGGCCGGCACAAAACGCGCTCGTTCGCCTTCGCCTTCTCCTTCTCTCTCTCATCTCTATTCCAACAAGAAATCAAACACTGTGAAGGAAGGACGCGTAGATCCTGTCTATGGTCAACGAAGTGCACTCCCTGCAGATGATGATTCTCTCAGCTTAGACGAGGAGGGAATGAATGCCTTGAGTTATTTAAGATCTGTTCGGTGAGCACACTCTAGGGTATTTTCTATGTTTATTTATGTAGATGGAGAATATTGTTGAGTTCTGAGTTGCAATTGTTAGAAATTTCGCTAATAGGAATTCTTCAGAGCAGAAGCAGAAGACCTCCCACCGATATTCTACGCCCCCGCGGAGACAAGAAGCTCGAATTCCAACGGCGAGTACGATCGATCGATATACGAAAGTGGCGTAGGCGATTTCAGGGGGTATTATGAAGATGGTGCTTATTATGCTGCGGCTGAAGCTGAAGTTGAGATGGAAGATGAGGAAACCGAAGGCCAAGACCCTCAGTTGGCATATTTTGACTCCATTTTAATACGATTCGAAACTCTACGAGAGCAAATGCAGCGAACCCCTCCTACCAACCTGGTGAAGGATTTAGATACAGACCATCCCATATATCTAAGCAAATTGGACACAAAGCTTTGTAGATGGTGGAGATGGAAAATGAAGACAGTTGATCCTCTCCCGGCGCAGATCGCAAGTATGGATAAAGATACGGTCTTGAGGTTGTTACGACTCTTGATGGGCGGCACCCTATTACAGAGTGGCTCCGATATTAATGTGAAGGTTAGTAGGTGGGCTTGGGCATTATTAGCTAGACTACCGGTAAGAGGGGAATTGAGTAGTGATGAGATAGGGGTCGTAAGGGAACTAGGAAAAAAGGCTGTGATGCTTGGTGTTGGATTAAAGGCGGGCAGTGGGCTGAAGGAACAATTAGACGAGGTGGAGAGGGTGTTTGAAGCCGATAATCGAGTTGAAATTGTGGATGGTGAAAATGCTGCCAGTTCAGGGGATGGGAACTTGGTAAAGGGAAGTGAAGATCAACAGGAAGTGCTGCACGAGGTAAAGCAGATAAACGAGGATGCCATGCAGACATCAGACTCAACGGAAAACTCCATGCCATCGATTACAACAGAGAAATCGACTACCCCAGAAGAAGAAGCTTGGGGAGCGACACTGGATTCGCATGAATTGGAGGCAATCAAAGCTCGCTTACTCGCCAGAATCACTTCAAACCCTCCGGCTGTCGAGGCAATGACAACTGTAGATTCTCAACCGCCCAAAACAGAAGAATCTACCCCTTCCACAACCGAAACGCCCATGTACACTCCAGCGCAGCCGGTTAACTGGAATACCAGAGCGACAATTGATATGATAATCACTATTGCAGGTGAGATGTTCGGACAAAGAGATCTGTTGGAATTCAGAGAAGTATGGGGTGAGTAAGTACTCTTACCACGGCCTGACAACAGATCACTTGGTATACTGGGGCAATTTATGCGTGGAGGTCAAAAAATGAAGCAGAAGAACGCGGAGCTTTTTAACT